GCAAACAATTAAGTGATGCCTCCAGAGAAAGAGATTGTTATATAGATTTCTTAAAGAAAGTTAATGTCAGCATTATAAGCGACGCTGAACAAGAGAGTTTGCAAAAAGAAATTCATGAGGTAATATTAAAAGCAAACAAATGATTGAATGTTTATAAAATTAGTATTAATTATAAAGTGCTCGACAGATACGATCCAGTGAATTAGCTGCTATTAAAACATTAAAAGAAATAGAAAGTGAACGTGATACATTGAAAAAAGAATTAGCCTCTTTGGAAGAAGAGGCCAGGGAACTTGATAAACTTGAGGAAAGGTATATGACCATATTAATACCAGTGTTAATTGCTAAGAAAAAGTACTTTGTGCATTTATGTTATTTGTAAATTTTGTAACTTTTAGTTATTGGCAGGAATTTAATGATTTTCATCTTCAACTACAAGCTTTTCAAAATGAGAGAGATAGCGTCAATTTAAAATATGATCATGATGCAAAACAATTGGAAAAACTTCAAAGGACCAATGTATATAATGACACTTTCTGTATCTGTATTAGTCATGATGGCCATTTTGGAACTATTAACGGTTTTAGACTTGGTCGTTTGCCAGATGTGATGGTATAATATCATTATTCTATTTTTCGACCGTGAAAATTATGAAAATTAAGCAAAAATAATGTTCATTTTTTAATAAATAATAAGGTTGATTGGAACGAAATTAACGCAGCTTGGGGACAAACACTCTTATTACTGGCAACCATTGCTAACAAACTTAATTTCACGTTCAAAAAGTATGCTACTTCCCTTTTTTTAAAAAAAAATCAAAAAAATATCTATATTGACTAACTTGCAGAAATACTTTAGTTATCGGTTAATTCCGTTGGGTTCTTTTTCAAAGATTGAATATATTGATGGTGATAAGAAATCTACATATGAATTGTGAGTCATTAGTTTAAGTAAATATCTTTATTACTTAATTTATGATATATGTTCTAACAAATTTTTTTTCAGGTATAGCTCAGGAGATGTAGCAATAGGAAGATTGTTTTTATATCGTCGTTTTGACCATGCAATGGTTGCCTTTTTAAACTGTTTACAACAGTTGGGTGATTATGCTGAGAGCCAAGAACGTAATTTCAAATTACCATATCGGTAATTACAATATATTTACTTTTTAATAGCTTCTTTAGAGTCTTATGTAACTAATGGTAAGTTTACTTTCATCTAGGATTAATAAGGATAAAATTGGCGACGTGTCAATAAGACTACAATTTAACCAATATGATACCTGGACAAAGGCGCTCAAATACACGCTTACAAATACTAAGTGGATCTTAGCATATGCTAGTGATTGTAGTCGACTAAAAACATATAACCTTAGCCGAGTCGATACGGCTAAGCCGGCTTAGTCGGTTATTATCAAAAAATTAAATCTGCCACTAATTAAATTATAAATCTAGAAACTCCGCTGGCCGCGCTGCATTTTATTATTTTACATAAATAATAAAAAAGATAAACCATTTGTGTAATGTTCCGAAGTAACAAAAAGATCACATGTAATTGAATATTACTTTACAGGAGTACCTATTTTATTACCCCTTTAATTACACCTGATGTAGATACAACAATATTGTATTTATGATTTATAAATTATCTTTAGATTTTTATCCAAACATTAGGTTAATATAAATTTCTGTAATTTTGATGCTCAATAAGTAATGGTGGACAATAAATCTTTATTTGCTTAATAACAGGAACTTTATTCTGTATATCAGATTTCAATCTACTTTTGTACAAAACAATAGCATACATAACCCTCAATATATTATATACTTTGAAAATGAATAGGATTACGTCAAATATATCGTCAAACACTTAAAAAATTAAAATTTCTAGATTTTTAGGTCTGATATTTGAGTATGTTATCAAGAACATTTTGAACCTTGTTCAAGACAATCGAATCAGGTAGTATATATTGATTTGCTGATGAGCTTTTTATAGCACTGTCACTATTTGACTTTTCAAACTTTGAAGTTGAAATGGCCATTTGTGATAATTGAGAAGTTAAATCATCTAAAGCTTCCATGGCACTCGTTGCTGATTCTGTATTAGAAATTAACATGGGTTCGTTTCCAGTACTAAAAGAAGAAGTATCGACTGAACCTATAATCTTAGCATTACTTCTTGTATCTTGAATATTACCATACTCTCGACTTTCTGTTGATAAATAATGACGTAAAATTTTGATAATCTACAAACAACAAAATGTAAATAGTAAAATCAAAGTGAAAAGTACATAAAATTATCATTAAGGTAGTTATATCCATTTCTCATATTAATATACCATAATATATTGTTACCTGTAAAACCTGCACAAAAATTTCCCGATTTTCAGGTATGTTTTCATTATCATCCACCATATCTTCAACATCTACATTAGCAGATTCGATATTCTTCATTAAAATATTAAGGCGCGATCTTGCAACCGATAATGGTGTACGATGAAATGCATCATCCATATTTATTTTTGCAACTAAATTATTGGAGATAGAAAAAGAAGTGCAAGTAGTGGAACGAAAAAGGCATCGACAAGAAACATGGGCACCAGAGA